CATTTGCAAATCTTGTCTTGTTTTGGTTGAATGATTGCTTGCATACTTTGCTCTTGCCTGTTGTGTTGCCGAGGTCGTCTTAAGCCTAGGCACCTTCGAGACCTCTGTCACTTAGAACTATCTTAGAACCCCGTTGGTTAACCTCCATCTTCACCCTGGCACATTGGTCGAGATGTCACCATCTAGGCCGAGGTACGCGTTGCCTAGGTCGAGATGTGCACCATCTGGGCCGAGATGTTAATATCTAGGCGTTCTAGATCCTTGGTCCTTGCATGAGTGATTTTGTTCCTGGAATGGTATGACCTAGACCAAGGTGTGGCACACCTAGGCCAGGGTGTGGCACAGTTTAGTCAAGTGTTGTCCTTCCAAGCCGATGTCCTTGCCCCTTGATTTTCAGAGTCTTGTTTTAGCCGATGTCGTTTCTTGCCGGTGTGTTCGTGCCGCCTAGCTTGCTGAGTACGCTTTGTCTTAGTCTTGTCTTGTCAAGTCAATCACATTTTTGAGTTGAGCGAATCAGCCGATGCCACGTGTCCCGACAGAGGGATTAAGTCAGTGTTTGTCGTGTGAGGCATATCATTTGGTATCAATCTTGCCTTTTAGAGAGAGAAGCTCTAGTTAGAAGGAAGAGAAGTTTGAGCTAGAGAGGGCGACTTCCAAGCTTGATCGTTAGAGCTTGAGCCGTTAGATTCGAGTTTTGAGGTTAGAATCTCAACCTATTCTTGTTGTTCTTATCCATTATCTAGCTGCATTGCACGATCAAATCTGTTTTACACACCATCCATCTGTTTAAAGTCGATTTTAGAAAGAGAAAACGGTTTTCATGTGTTTTTGAAGAAAAGCCTCGTTTGATCCGAAAGTTTGCATCGAAGCTCATGCATCTGTGTTTGTTTTGATAAGATCCTTGAGTATGGGTACCAAGGTCCACGTTTTCGTAGTTGTAGCATGAAATCTCAGCTTTTGTATAGAGAGTTTGATCTTTGCATTCATCTTTCTCATGTTCGTGTTCTTCAAGTTCTTCATGCTCATGTTCTTCATAAATTATAGCATGAGATCTCAGCTTTTGTAATAGCAAGTTTTGATCTTTGCGTTCATCTTCTTCATGCTCATGTTCTTCATGTTTATCAAGAGGGAAACCCAGATTTTTCCCGACTTCACTTTTTGAATGTGGCCATCGAGGCCACACCTCGGCAAGGAGGTGTGGGACCTCGGC